ATGAGTAACAACGTAATCAGCGTCTCAGGCAGTGAGAAAGAAAGTATCTTGAAACGTATTTCAACTTTATATCATCATTTAATATTAGATATTCTAAAGAGATGCAGGCTGTAGTCAGATACTACTACACAACCCCACTCTAACCCCCCCCCCCCCCCCCCCCCCCCCCCCCCGGGTTTAAGGTTTTAGTAGGAGAGACCAGGTATACCTCAAGTGCGATTTGTTTGCTGTATTTCTTACAGCTCTATCAGTATGCACAACTCCTTCAAAACAACTGGCCAATGTATCAAGCAAATGTTAACATTTTAATTTGATGTATAATTGTTTCTTTTTTAACCCCGCACAATAATCGACTCTGGACCAGACAATCCAGTGATTAACACCATGAGCATCGATCCACGCAGTTTGGATACGATGACATCTATCAACCAAGTCAGCGAACCTGACCACCCGATCCCATTAGTCGCCTCTTGTAACAAGCATCGTCGCCTTTTACGGCGCACATGGGTTCCTGAAGACCTATTCTACCCCGGATCTTCACGGGTCCGGTGTATGTAAGCATTTGATGTCTAAGATATTTAGTATGAACTTTTCTAAATACACATCTGGTATGTACTTGTACACATTTGGTATGTGCTTGTACACATCTGTTATGCTTAACTATTGACTGTGTATGTTTGTAGCAGATTCTTTCAAAGGTCTGGACATCGGTTTTGCGATTCACACACGAAAAGAATACACAGTTAATCCTTTCATAAAATAAAACTCCCAACATATGTTCTCAAAGTTAACAATAGTTGAACAACAACCACATAAATGTGATTAGCTCGATAAACATTTCTGGCGTAGGTATACATTTTGTTGTGTGACATGGATCAGTCGACTTCTTTGGTAGCCAATCAATGCAGAGTAGCATCTAACAACGTTCAAAGAGCCTGTCGATGCAACGTGATCCCCATCTCAATGCTTCTAAACATCGATGTCTGTCTGTCGATTGGTACATGCTTGGTCACCATACCCATGATATGACATGGACACAAGTAACACCGTAGTGGATTTAGTATGTGATTATCCTCCTCCAGTATCTCAATAACCTGCTTTGACAGATGTTAGTGGAAGAGAAAGGTTGAATAGATAGGTGTTAAAAGGTACAATTTGGCATTCTGCATATTGCTGAAGCTGTTTCATCTTCGGACATGTTTGAGGGACAACGTTCCTTGCAATGCCTTTTGATCATGAGCTGTTGAGAATTATGTGCGGTGATACATTAACTTCAGATTTACATTCCATGAAGATAAAACCAGATCGTATCCTTTTCATGTTCACAATATCTCTAGCGATGCCAAACACTGCTTTCCAAAAAGTGAGTACGGTTTTACGCCGCTTTTAGCAATATTCCAGCAATATCACAGCGGCGGACTCCAGAAATGGGCTTCACACATTGTACCCATGTCGGGAATCGAACCCTGGTCTTCGGCGTGACGAGCGAACGCTATAACCACTAGACTACCCGACCGCCCCGCTTTCCAAAAAGGAAAAGATTCGATGTCAATGGTCCTCCAACAGACGACAGTATCTGGGGACACATTCTATGAAAAAAACTTTCCTGAGCAGCAAGAAAATACGAGTTCAGCAATGATTATATGCAGTTTTTCCTGTAACAATCATAGCTTATGAGCTAAGCCCTGGAAAAAGAACCCTAGTCTCCATGAACACTAAATTTCATTGTTACAAAGAGCATACGTTCAGCTACTGAACTGAAGCTCCGGAAATGAATCCAATCTATATTTCCAGGTCCAAGGGGTCCTACTCCCATTTTTAAAAGGAACCTTTTAAAAGGAAGTCCGAGGTCTTCAATTAACTGCCCGACGAAGGAGTGCAGTTGAAAAGACCGAGGGATTCTGCAAATGATAAAACCCTGAAAAAGCGTCACCGCACAAAAATGGATAGAATTTGTTATCAAATAAAATTAAACCACAATGTCGGTTTTGAAACATTTACTGCAATCAACACACAACGAATGTCACTGATCCATTTTACAAATATGAAAACGTCATAGAACAAATCAGATGACGTCAATATTGAACATCGGTCATTTGTAGTGCCCTACTTTCGCCGGGCATTTAATGGAATACCTCGGGCTTCTGCAAATGATAATGCCCGTTACCATTATTATAGCTTAAATGGATAAAATGTGTTATCAAATAAAAATAAACAACACTATCGGTTTTGAAACATGTATTGCAATCAACACGAATTTCACTGACCCACTTTTAGAAATATGGAAACGTCATAGAAAAAACCAGATGACGTCACTATTGAATGTGGCGGAAATTTACACATGACACTTGCATCTAAATATTGTAACTTCTTCAAAACTGTTTACAATAAACAGTACTATATCCCTGACAACTAATCACTGTCCAAATACAGTGCAATGAGCTTCTACTGAATCTCAACAGAAACAATGTAACACAGTTTCAATCATTGTTCAACAATAAAATACAATGCCATATAACACTTGAAAGACAACATCGTACAATGGACTCTGCTTTTGGCAGAGGTTTCATATGATTACGGAAATGTTTTTGTCGCGTTTATTGTATTTTTAAAGGTATTAAAAACATTGCAAGTTGTAGTGTAGTGGTGTGAAATATGGCAAATGGAGAAGAAATAAGAATATAAATGTGTAGTTTCTGTTATTTGAGACAAGGCTCAGAGTATCGTCACCTATTTCTTTCTGTATGGATAATTAGGTAGATTTAAAGCAAATGATAAAAGTATATCCTTGAACCTATCATTTTCACTTTACCATGTCACAATATATCAACGTTAATAAAAACGAACACACACAGTTGTGGAAGTCATGACAACGCTATGATGTATCATAGCTAGAGACGCTGTGCACCAAAAGCCATAACAGCAGACACTCTTAAATCGGCAAGACATTACATATAACATTTGTAAATGGAAGCAAACCCTGAGGAGAAAACATGTACAAAAGGCACTAATCTCGGTTAGATACTAGAATGACTGATGTGACTTTGATCTGTAATATTCACTCAAATATAAGTACGTCTGTGTCTTCTTACCCCGACAGACCCGTGAAGATTCTGGGGTAGAATAGATCTTCAGGAACCCATGCTTGCCGTAAAAGGTGACTATGCTTGTCGTAAAAGGCGACTTACGGGATCGGGTGGTCAGGCTCGCCGACTTGATTGATACATGTCATCGATCCAAATTGCCGTCATATAGCTGGAATATTGCTGAGTGCGGCGTTAAACAACAATCCAACCAACCAATCATACCCCGACAACTTGGATCGATGCTCACTGGATTGTCTGGTCGCGACATTACTAGTATGGTATTGTACACTGCGGCGTTAATCAACAGATCACCCACAAGCAAGGATAAACATGCTGCGTTTGAGTGTTGGGAGGCGGGTTGGAGGGGATGGGTGTGTATTTGCTGGTTGCTCCATTAATGTTTTTTGTCAAAAGATATATATTAGCATTAACATTTGGTGACCTGCTGCTAACATTTATTTACAACCGTTGTGTTGTAAGAAATACATATATGAATATCAATATAGTCCCGGCGATAATAATTAAATACATTTGACGATTATTATTTGTAGTTGTCAATTCGAAGCATTCATTTCATATCAAATATTATACACTTTACTCAAAGATGATATAATTAAATGTTCATATGGTAAGGGCCGCATATCTACTTCACCATGGACTCATTAGCATCAAACTGCATGACACATGGGAGTATGGGTAAATCTGGGGAGGAAATCTTCCTCTGTAGTATTCATTGACATGTGCTAGCTGGCCGCATATGAAAAGTTACCTCAGGAAAACCCGTGTAAATAGAAACAGTTCTATTTCCATAAATAAATTTTCAGACAGCTTTATGTTGAGACTTCTGTCAGGAATATTTACATCATTTTGTTCTGTCGTGCGCATATGTATCGTTGAAAGACGTATTTTCAACTTTGCCTTACAAATAGTAGGATTAGGTGTATGTGAGTATGAATCGGTATACCGTACAAAAGCGAAAGGACAACATTACATATGTATTTTCATCAAGGGTAATAATAACAAAAATATATATGAGCTTCTGTCTGAATCCCTTTGAAACAGTGATGATACGGGCGGTTCGAGAAAAAGTGTATCCTGTCCCACTTTTGGTACCCGTCACAAACACATGCAAAGGCAGTCAATTGTTCACATAAAAAAACACGGGAACACATGCAACACATGTCTGCCATAAAGGTTTTGGAAGATGCCTTGAATGTTGTAGCCTTGATCAAAGAACTTTTATTGTTTGTTTGAATAATTTCACCTTTTTTACAATACTTTATTTTTGTACTGCTCTGGAACACTACAGGGCCACTGCTGGTGGCGCCAATGCTGGTGCTGTGTTGCCCACTGAAGACAGTCCCGGCGGATGACGTAGTGTCCTCGGTGTGGCCTGTGACAGTGGAGGTATCCGCTCGTGAATCGTGGACGCACGGCGTCCGCACTGATGTGTCGCTGGTGTGTCCCAATGGTCTGTCGAGCACTTTCCGCAGCAGTAACAAAGAGATCTTGAAGATGCTGTCGCACAATCTGACGATCCTGACGTCGGGTGGTGGCCCTTGGACGGTCATCTGTAGTGTTGGTGGTCTGGTACCGTTACTGAAGCCAGTATATGGTCCTTACGTGGACTGCATTGGCTACTTGCCGGGCGGTTTGTCCAGCTTGGTGTCGCTGATTTCTTGTCAATCTTGGCATGTGGTAACAATTCAATAACGAATGAATGTAATCCGATCTGGGTGAATTTTTATAGGGCAAGAAATGGGGGAACGCATGTGCATTTCAATTTGCACGGAACTCACGTGCATCGGGTTACCATGGTCGTTGCCGTGATGGGTTTGGGCAATCGGTTTTATTGTCATCTGCTTTGTTTTTTATCATCAAATTTCATTTTTCCAAGGTATTGTTAAAATTTAGAAACTTTGACAAAAATTACCCAGATATCTAAATAACAACTTTTCATGCAATAGTACTTGGGGTGACGGTTTTTTTGCGTTTCAGTATAATATACACACAAACATCACCAAGTTAGAGACATCTGCATTCAACGGAGTGGATCCCGAGAAACGGTCGACTCTTCGAGTCAGTTATGTCATGTTGGGCTATGTGATTTCATACGAGTCAGGCAGTTTATACCTCATGACATTGTTTGTAATTACCGTAAGCAACACCAATGACGATGCACCAAAGACACGGGAATGCATCTGTTGACACGAAGACAACATTTCTTTAAATGGGTGGAATACTGCGAAACATAAGTGCGAGTCCGTTTTCCCTCTCTATTTCCAACGTATCTGTTCCCAAATCCTGCAAAAGAGCATATGCAGTTGCACAATCTCAAGGATAAATTCAAAGAAAATATGTCAATAATGCAGTGAGTTGTGAGATGCATACATGTTATGTCTATGCATCTTTGGAGTTTCGTGAACATTCTTAATTCATCGGGAGTAGATTATCCGTCACAGAGAAGAGGAAATACAATGTGAAATACAGATGTATGTTTGTTAGGCAGAGCTATCCTGAACGGGTGAGTTATAAACTAGAATGTATTGTGATAATTGAGAACCCCTTTGTACAGAAACCTTAAGGAAACGTTGTAACAAAGAAGCACATTTACCTGAACTGAATTGTCTGAGCAAGCATGAATAGTCCCGGATGGAGCAGGGATTGTATCGGGGTGCCTGAGAAGAGGTCCTCATTGCATAGCAGGTTTTCCATGAAAACAGAATACATGGCTCAAAAAATACATTTTTAATTGTAGAAAAGGTTACCGTAACAATAATGAGGATGAATTAATTTCAAAATTAAACAAATTGAAAACTGAAGCATCATTGATCTATTGTTCGTTCAGGAAAATCGTTATGAGACAAATATATAAAAATATATATATATATACATCCTTTTAAGAAGCAGCCTGGGAGATTTGAAGAGATACAAATGAAAACATTACCGAAGTAACCAAATAGTCAACATAGTAAGTACCATATACTATTCTATTGTGGTGACGGTGGGAGAACGACAATAGCCCCAACCCCCATCCCCACCACTAGAATATTATATGATCGGATCCTTTTTACACCAACAGAAAATAATCAATAATTTAAATTCTTCTCTTTCATTGACACCAAGGCAACAATTTCATTTTCCACAATGTTCTAATTTCATTCTCTTGAGGTTGTTCATGTATGCTTAGGAATTAATTGCAACTCACGATTCACCGTTTAGGCTGTGGAAACTGCCCAGAACATAACCTTCGTAACATTTAACCATATACGCATTGCACAGGACAGGGGAAATGGCATGATAAGCAGGAAAGGGTAAGAAGTATACACTAATGACAAGGAACAAGTTTCTCCATGTGTTCATATGTGTCAGTACTATGCACGAAAGAATATTAGTTCTGCAGACAGAAATGGTTCTGCGGGTGGATAGGCATTTTAGGTAAATGGTAAATGAAATATATTTGAATAACTGATGATGACTCACCTTGAACATGCAGCACGAGGCTCCAGAGGTAAGCGTTCATTTCACACTTTCATTTTAATTGTTTTTCTGGTATGTGTTCGTTCAACAACATGATACAGTCACACCTTTCGAACTTAAAAACACACGTTCAAGTCACCAGCACACATTTGTCAAGCAATATACATTCACTAAACACATACGTACGTCACAATCAATATTGGTTTACTGACGTACATATAATTTAAATAATCCACTTTCACGTGGCGGGCATTCTCAACAAATGTATTTGATGTCAGGGCAGTTATTGAACATAATTTTATTATATGTCACATCATCACAAATAGTTATGAATTACAGGATGTCATTTGATACAAATAGAGATATGTGTTACAAAATAATGCTCATGTTCTTTACTTCCATCAGTTATAACTAGTTTACCTGAATCCTGTCCTGCCACCTGTGTATATTTCAGTCGGAAACCCTGCCCCACGCCTTGATCATCTGCCCTGAACCTGATTGTGAGAGCAGGTCCTGTGCTCTGTACAGTCGGCGTGGTATTCTCGCACCAGGTGAGAAGGACTTTGTCAGATGGAGATGGGCCTTTGGCGAATAAATGTTATGATCTTATTAGGACATATTTGCGCTTTATTATAAACTGACACAAATAACACTATGTTATAATCCAACATATTTGGCAATTTAGAAAATCATTTGTGTATACATTTACCTTGCATGTATCATGTATCTACCGGTAATATCATCTGGTATGTTAACCCGTCGTGTACACTATTTGTTACGTGTTCTATCTTTGCAAACGTTTCAAAGAACAATATCTTCGCTGAATAGTATCCCTTAAGAAATATCTTTGTCAACTTCATACACGCATGTTAATAGTTTCTTTCAAAACATAAGAGTGTGGCAACTCATATTTAAAAAAAATGATGAACATTACCAGAAAATATTATGAACATCTCACATCATAATGTGTGGATAACATATACAAGTGATAACATATCAGGCACATATATTTACTTTGGCTGTTACGCACCGTCATGGATGCTCACATAGTCGGACGTACAGTTAGCATCAGACTCAAGGTCAGACACGAGAACTTCAACTCGCACCACGTCTGAAGGGTTCATCGTGGTTATTGTCCATTCACATTCCATGTTGCTTAAACACAAAAATAAAACTTTCCAGGACACTATCACCTTCATGTTACATGAATATGAAGTGAACTCTGTGCTTTTATTTCAGACACACTTGAACGCACTAACCAAACATATATATACAGTTCTTCATTTTCAATGTCATTTTGTTGGTTTGGTAATGCGTGATTGAGATTATGTGGAATCTCATATTATTAATTCATCTTTGATTTTAGTCATTTATAAAATGAGATTTTATATTACGAAAACGTGTAGTTTTCCTACCTTCGTTTTTAATTAATACAGCAACAACTGTGTTTATTACATATAATCAGATAAATAAATATTTCTATGTTTTTTTACTTACTTCACGTAATTATTTGGATAGGCAGGTAACGTCAGGTATTCGCTTAACACCGATGCAGTGAGGTTTGTTATTCCACAACCAGGACGTAAAGTTGTTTGTCCTTAAAATTAGTATATGGACAGATTACAGTACCATAGATAGAAACAGTTATATCATTGCTTGTCTTGTTTAATTTTAATGAGCGTGTACAGTCTAAAACTGATGTGTCCAAGTTGACGGGGCCTACGGAAATACTTCGAGTTATCCGAGGTTCGACACAACCGAAAATCATGAATAAAGAATGAATATGCAGGGACCAATCTTTTACATCGACACAAGCGTAATTTCGACACATCAAAGTTCGAAACAACGGTACGTTAGTGTAGCTATACCTTGAACTGAGTTTTATATCTCGCAATTTCTATTCAAATAGTTCAGAACCTTATTAATATATTAAGTGTTCATTATCACACAATAAAGGGTCAGCTTATTTAAATTTGAGCAATATGACGTGTCTACTCACCACCACTGTCACCACGCACTGGGGTACTGAAATACCCATACATCTCAAAATGACCAAAACCAGTGACGAGTACGCCAAAAGGACATGTCGATGAATTACTTTTAATGACAAGGAAGCCAGCGCTGGGTTGAAAGCTTGCTATGGCGAACGTCTGTGATTCTGTTGGCTGATTCGTCCATGTTCCACTAACGTTTACATGTGGAGTACATTGCGAACTGGTAATGATGGTAACATAGCGTCTGTACGACATGGCACTTGTCTGAATGTCTGGTATGAGATAGTCAGTCCCATAGGCATCAATTGTTTGGACAATCGCTTTGAACACATAGGCATGTGCTGACTTGTCGGCTATTTGTAACACAAGTATTGGATGAGAGCTTTTGATGTATGTGGGGTTTGTATCACGAAATTCTTCATCGTAAATCTCTGCTTCATTCAAAAGAATGGACTCAACTCCTGTGAATGTGTCAATGGTGATATTGGTACCATTATATGCTGATGTAATTCGAACGCGGTATTGTTCCATGTTAGGGACCGGGGGCACAATGAACGATGTCCCCCATGTCTCTATTGGGGGAACTTGACTCATAGCTCCATCACAACTTCCAGCATAGCACAACAAAGGAGATCCAGAGAACACTGCAACTGAATGACTGCTCTCTACAACCGTCCCTCCCAGATCGCAGGTGTTGGAAGTACTACTTTGTGAAGAAGCAATCTGGAGGACTTCTCCCTGCAGCAGGGTTATACTCAACTGGCTTCCCCTTCCGTAGATGTTCCCCCTGAAGGTGTAGGAGCAGGTGGAGTTGAGATGGACAGTGACGTTTGTGTTGTTATAGATAGCCACCACCCCGAGTAAAGCGATGTATGGCACTGATGGTACGATGTACTTTGTAGACAGAGACTTCACTGGAAGGACTGGAAATGCATCGGCCACACCCTGGTGAACACGGCGTTGCAGGACACTCAGAGTTACTTCCGTTGTGCAAATAAGCTCCACTGCACGATCCTCCTCCACAGCGACTCCCAGGGTTAACATTCTGTCTGTCGGTAGATGGAACTGTGTGACACTGTTGTTTCCAATAAGCTGGATATGATAATCTGTCCCGTTACTCTCTGTCACAGTGCATCGGCCATCCCGCGTATGTGCAAAAAAAGGAAATGAGCAGTCGCGTAATTATAGGCTTGGAATCGTGCAAAGATGAACCGACTGCCGCTGTACGTTGCTGTACCTGATGTTTGGAAAGGAAAAGAAAGGAAACCATTGATACAAGTAGTACATTGGCCTTCCAGTGTATATACAATAAAAGGGAACTGAGGCACTTTAGTGCCATTTATATAGACTGGGAATTGTGCAAAGATGAACTGGCTCCCGCTCTTCATTGTAAAATTAAAACTCATAAGAAAGGATACCATTCGAATTGATACAAATTCTGTTATTGTGATTTTGTTGCCCGCCTCTAAATTCGAATTCATGTTGATATTGTTATAGCGCAAACCATTTCAATAAGTACTTTAAGACTTGATTTATCCAAAATACCTAATTGTTTCAATATGTTTCAAAAGTGCGCCGAAATTCTATCTCCTTTGTCTGTTTAATATTTAATATATTCACAAACATCCCCTCTAATCATAAGCCCCCTTAGGGCAGGAGCCTTAATCCCGAGCGCTATCTATAAATGTCAATTAACACATCACGTCGCCGGATCTTACGCATGTACCTGCACGTGGGTCACGGATTGTATGGCAAGTCTTGGCGTCGGCTAATTAATCATCCATCATGCAGGTATCGAGACTGTATTACAAATCAACAGATGTTATCAATCATTTAAACTTTTGCTTGTAAACTGTTCAAGATATTAAAAACATCCAGGCACCAAATCATATTCTCTGTCACTGTGCATCGGCCTTTCCCAGGTTTGTGCAATAAAAAGGAAATAATTCGTTAAGTTGTCATGCCAAGAATAAAATGAATCGATTTTTGCTGAACGATGTTGCACCTGATACTTGATTTGAAAGTACCATGACTTTCATGTGTGCTCTCTCAAACCAAATCGGTAGGCAACTTCAGTCAGACATAAAAGATAAAAGACCTTTGGGTAATCAACACTAAAAAACGCCTTGATAATATCTATGGTATTATAAGCAAATGGAAAACACGTAATTTGACTTTGATGGGTAAAATAACAGTTGTTAAGACCTTAATTCTCTCTACCCTTGTACATATTTTTTCCGCTCTCCCAAATCCATCAAAAGCTTTTATTGATCAATTGAATAGAATTCTTTTTAACTTTATTTGGAGTGGCAAAAGAGATAAGATTAAGAGGGATTATTTGAAAAGGAATTATAGTCAAGGTGGATTGAAAATGACTGATATACCCAAATTTATAGCATCTTTAAAAATTTCATGTTTAAAAAGATATTGTGAAAAAAACATTAATTATGACCTTGCTAGTTTTCAGCTGGCTCATATCTACACTTTAGGTGCCAGTTTGCACAAGAATTGGGAAATTGTAAATCCGTTCTGGAAAGATACCCTTATAGCCTGGAGTGACTTTATGCATTCATATGACTTTGAAGTCTTAGAAAAAGCAGAAATTGCTTCCCAACCCATATGGTTAAACCATTATTTTAGAGAACCAGTATTAATTTTTAATGACTGGTTTAAAAAAGGTATAGTTACGATAAAAGACTTGTATGATGAAAACGGATGGATCCCTTTCCCACGTTTACAACAACTTTATGATCTTAAAGAAACTTTTCTCGACTATAACCGTATGTTTTTTAATATTCCAAGAAGTTAGAGACAAAATATTGATACAAATCTACATTCCTCTTCTAATCTCACAGTATCTCCTTGGATTTATGATCTTACACGTTCTATTAAAGGAACAAAAGTGTTTTATAATAAACTGATAGGGAATTCCCTCACTCTCCCTAAATCTTGTTTGAAATGGGAAAATCAGCTGGGATGCTCTTTTCCATGGAATCAAATATTCAGTGTATATTGCCATGGGTTAAGGGACACAAAACTCAGGGATTTCCAGTTTAGATTTATTCATAAAGTAATATTTACTAAACGTGAGTTATTAAGAATGAAACTTATTGATAACGATGAGTATTTTTCATGTTTATATCGAATGTCATGTTGTTAAGAATTTTTGGTCAGATTTCTGTATTTACTTGACTCATATTTTGCATAGAAAAATCCTTATAACTGACAACGAGCTCCTCTTTGGTACCTCTGATGTATTAATTAACCATTTGATTGTAGCTGCTAAAAGATTTATCTTTGTCCAGTGTATTAAGAATGAAAATGTTGACTTTGTTGCTTTTAAGAACACAATAAGAAGTATCTATGACGTTGAATATCATATTGCACGTAGAAATAACGACTTCTCTGACTTTAATGGAGAAATGGGCTTTGTTTACTCAACCTGCAAAATAACTTATTCACTTGATGTTTGCAACATAATTTGATGTACCATAAATACCGCATCTTCTTAATTGTATACATAAATATGCCTTCATCTGTACCATGATGTGGATTATGCCTTCATCTGTACCATGATGTGGATTATGCCTTAGGCCTCCTCTGTACCATATCCTTTTGAGAAGTACCTGTATTCATAAAGCTGTATTGCTTTCCAAGTGCTTATGTATCCTGTGTATATGACTGAATAAAAATTTAAAAAACCCAAAAAGAGAGAGCTACTCTATTACAAACGTGGCGTCGTGTCTCCCGCATCACTAAATAAATGCGTCAACTTCCCATCTGTTGAACTAAACTTTGCTGGAGTTGAATTTTCTTTGAATTATATCTGCACGATGAGATTATATTACCAATTAACAATGTAATGCTTCTAAATTACAGGTTGATCATATGTGAGGAAACATGCGAGAATTAAAGTCAAAAGTAATTGATCCTAGACCATTCTACCTACACAAAACAACCCTTGGTGTTTTGTACGTTGTTGTTTAACACCGCACTCGGCAAATTTCAGCTATATGACGGTGGTCTGTAGATAATCGAGTCTGGATCGGACAACCCAGTGATTGAAATCTTGAGCATCGATCTACACAATTGAGGTACGATGACATACATCAACCAAGTCGCCGAGCCTGACCATCCGATCCCATTAGTCGCCTCTTACGGCCAGCATTGGTTGCTGAAGTGAGTCAAATATTACTCACTATAATGTCGCACATTTTCAATGATAAAGAATATGCATACTTTAAACATTTTCAGAAAGAGAAACCCTGGAAACCCTGGAAAACTCCATGACTTGGTAAGTGCATGTTGTTACGTTGATAAATTCCATAACGTGTTGTTTTGTCTTTTTCATTTATCAAACAGTCCCGCCACACTTGAATTGTTGTCCAGCGGCGTTTGTGTTAGGACACATAATTCTGTACCACAACATGATTTAAATTTACAACTCATAGCGTGCTGTCAAGTGAATTTCTCACCTGCAACCGTATTTGCAGCGAATAACATCCACAGTAGTCTGGGGACAATCATAGCTGTTGATAGTATTCTAACTGCTTTCTGTTAAAAGAAGATACAATGCTACACATTCAGTGGCACTATGTTATCTTCGGAGGCTAATCTACATGCCTGCGATGGTGCATTGGTTAACATTAATGATTCCAATATTTCCTTTAATGCATTATTAGATCATATTCCAAGTACACATACACAGAGTTCTTGGGGAGTATTGGCTTGCCGAAACAGGACACTAAGTTTTATCTTGTGTTCTTTTTATGCTTAAACGTCACACCATGCTGATTTGAAAATCATTGTGGGCCTCGTAGAGTTTCAGAATGTTATGATAGGCCATAACCCTACCTTGAACTACTTTATGTTTTTGCTTTTTTCTCTTTCGAAGTTTATATACTTAATAATTTTATTTGACTGATATAAGATTGTGTTGTCTTTGTGTAATTATGCCATTTTAAAACAAAGTTCCGTGAACTTTTAATGACAGTTGGATAGATGCATTCATTTTGCTGACACTCCAATAGTTTGAGTATGGGTATTAAATCGTCCAATAGTTTTCCTATGAAAGGTTCCCCCTCCCATAGTTAAACAAGAGCCCACAACGGCCTCGAACAAGCTTCACGTGCGAAAATAATCGCGAGATGTCTCCTATGCGTAGTGTCGGTACACGTCCATATGCATCTTTAATCTGATTTCATATGCATGCATGAAGAACTACTGTTTGAAGACAAATGTCTCACATTGCATTGAATATTATGTGGCAGTAGATAGTATTGCAGGTTTATTGGTAGTAATGGTCAGTGGCAGTTAATGAGTGAGGAATTCGAATGAGTGAGAATACCGAATTCTCACCCACGTGACAGATATGGTTGTTCGGTTTGTGATGTGACAGTTTCTGGAAGGCTGGTTGAATCTATGTAAAATAACACGAGGACGATTCGATGCCCTTTGCGAACTGAGTAATATATTTGCCTTGTGCGACAGGATACCTATCTGAAAACAACGGGTTCCTGAAACCTTCCAACAATATTTCAATTTCAAGAACGGAGCACCTGTCTCTTTCAAGACACTCGACAGTGATCTAGGTCCTGACATTCTTGAGTGCACTTACATTATTTCTAGGGCCTCTTACTTATTGCTGCTGTCACCTATTTCACCCACTGAATTGCCTTTTGCGAGTGTAAACCTAATATTCCGTGTTTCAAAATAATTTGCATAATAATAAATAATAAATCACCTTGCAACAACATGCAAATGTAGAAAATAAGTACCCGTCCTTTTAATAATAAATAAAATGCAAAGTTGTAGATTAAGAAGCGAAGCTCATGCACACATATTTAACTGTATTAGAATGTGTATTAGATTTTAAAATGTGTAGAAAATAAACCTAAGATTACATGTTTGAGTTTTGAACATTCGGTTGGTATCATAAGTAATATTCTATGCTCACAATTTAAGAACGTGACGAGAGACAACATTAATCAAAGATATAACTATCACACTTTGACATGTCAACTACTTTTGAGGTGTTATTTTTAGGAATTACAAGAAACACTAAATCTATTGTATAGAAATGGTTTTCCAAGCACGTGAGTAAAATTGGATTAAACGCCACCTTTTATTGTAATTTGAATAGTGTCATGGAGTGTCAGGTCATCGTGGGAAGAAAGCCCGAAGTGTTGCAGTATATCGTTCCCGATAATGTTCACATACCGTACAGTCGAACTGTAGAGGACTGAAGGCTAATGTAAGAATATATTTGTCCAGGATTTTAATCCATCAACATTCCGTCTACATCTAAAGGAGACAGATAATTTTAACTTATGTTCGTCCATTGCATTCCGTCCTTTTTCTCGGCCGGGTGATAGGGCCACTGTGGAGATCTTCAATCAGTGCGAGACAGGATGTTATCCACAGGCCTGTTATACTTGAAAAGAAACTCCAAACCTTTGCAGTGCGAATTACTTTGCATGTTGCATTTACATATTGCTCTCTCTATATACTGCATTCTTCAGATCTTCAGCAGCCTGAACTTCAAACACTGTACGACTAAGCCCTGTGTAATCATTGGTGATTCAAATGGCCACGACCCACACTGGGGTGGTACAAGCACTAATACTAAAAGTAAAATGCTTGAGGATTCACTAGAATATCATACATGGAACGACTGCAAATGGTTATGTACCCTCATGAAATCAATCACATAATAAAGGCGATAAGCCATCGGTCATGTTATATGACAGTGAATTTTATTGTAAACACTGATTGTAACTGCATTACATTGTTTATGTTGATATTCAGTGGTTGTTCTTTGCATTATATTTGTACGATTAGCTGTCAGGAATGTAGTACCGTTTAGTGTAAGCAGTGGTCAGAAAGTTATTATATTTAGAATTATCTGGAAACTTCTGAAATAGCATGGATGGACGTCAAGTGTTATAGAAACATGTGGAATATTCTCGATGTTCAAATGACACAAGCCTGGTCTGGCACTGTGTGGAAAGTGCTGGACGCTGGTCAGATCATACAAGTGGAGCAGGCGCACTCCTGTCTCATGTCACATTACAACAAGACACGCTTTCTTGTCAAGATCACTTATCACCCCGGATTCCAAGCCTGGGCCAATCCTGGAAGTTTGACCACTGTTGCTGCGAGGTGATTATTATTCTTGTCAGTCATTTCCACTGCTCTCACTACCCGTGAATATCCGGGGTAGAATAGGTCTTCAGCAACCTATGCTTGCCGTAAAAGGCGACTAACGGGACCGGGTGGTCAGGCTCGGTGCACGGTTGAAACATGTCATCGATCCCAATTGCGTGGATCGATGCTCGTGATATCATTCACTGGACAACAACCAACAACCACTGCTCTCACATGTCATACTGCCTTTGAATATTGTACGACTACTCTGTTGTGTGCTGCCATTGTAATTGCTGTGCAGTAATTTGTATTGATTTGTAAACCTAGTTGATTTTGTAATAAATTGTTGATCGTATACCATTTGTTAATTGTTTGTTCGTTTTTCGTACAGATTCCTGTTTTAACATATTGTTTCAATTTGGGAATCGACACGTAACAGAAATCGGGGGCGTGTCTAATATTGTGTGAAGCCAACAATCACTATCACTATGGTATTTAATGTAGGTGAGCTTGTTAGCCAACCTTTTATTGAACAAGTCTCTGTGCTCAAAAGCACTGAACTGGTCAAACTGGCCAAACATTACAAACCTGACATATAATCGGGTATGCTTAAGGTTGATGTCAAGGAAATTTTGATAACTTACCTGGTTGAGGAAAATATTTTGGATGAAGATGCTTTAGCCTTGCTTGAAGAAACAAGTGATATAAACAAATAATTTAGGAGACCAATTTTCGAAGTCAGCCTTTACAAGTATCTCTTAGATAAGCGTGCAGACCTTCATTCATGCAACTTAAGCAGTTTCTGAGAAAACTTGTCCCCATTGCACACAGTATGTTTAAAAGTAAAAAAACATTTTCAGGACCAATTTTCGAATTCAGTCTTGACAAGTATCTCTTAGATAAGCATGCAGTTTCATTCATACGGAAGCCTATTAGGGACATTTGTTTTTTTGTGAGTTTTCTTTTCTTGAAATTTCAAGATACAAAGTTGATATCACGAGATACACACTTAGTTGAAATTGCAAGATAATGATCTTGAAATTTTGAGATTTTAACTTGAGTTTTAAACTTAGTATCTTGAAATTTCAAATTGACCTCGTTTTATTTGTTTTCATTGGATAACTGCGTGACCTCAGTCACACCGGAATAATTTTTTTCATTCATGAAAAAATCGCGAGACTTCATTCACTTTTGCAACTATGCCTGGAAGGCAGAACTGAAGGAATCTCATGAAAGCGAGAGACATTCACAAACACTTTATTAAAACCAAACACGATTGTCACACGCATCAAATTCGCTTTGCATTCTATATTAGAGTTACCACAGGCATTATATATAATCGAGCTATATCCATTTGCAATGTACGACTACCGATAAATCAAGGCTGGGTCCGTATGAGCGTGATCCAACCGACCACTTTCGCAACTTTCCATTTGATTTAACGTTAAAGGTTAAGCGTGGTGAAATGAAATCAGTTTAAACTTTCTGGACAGTAGAATTCCTTTTCACATTTTAAAACGAGTATTTGTTTACGTAACCATACTGGTAGGCGGCTTATGTTTTGTCCTAAAAGTAGAAACAAAATCAGAAAAATATGAACACCTCAGAAATGATGGCTTTCATAGTTGTAATGCTACCTCACTTGTCAGCTAGTTCCTTATCGACTTTTTAAAAAAAATCTTGAAACTCTAAAATGTCAAGCACTTAACCAAAGAGTATTCAAGGAATGGCAAATGTGATTTTTTGCAAATACAATTTTTGGGGCAATTCATGTTTCATGATGGAAGGATCACTTTTATTCACATCAGCTGATATTGTGATTGCATTCAAGGGAAAAGGGGTTTGCAGCTGTACATATCTGCACAAAATAAACCAAATAAGGTGACAAAGTCTTGGGTCGAGACTGACAGGATAGAATCCACCTGACAAGGGTAATAATGTATACAGGGGAATTTATTGTCACTCCACCCAAAAGGCTGAGACATATGGAACATGATATGGACCAACACCAACTGGATGTTCAGACACCCATAAAATAATCAAGGATGTTAGATCCAAGGCTGGTGATGATCTGCATTTATTTTGATTCTTGTACATCACACTGACTGATGACAACAGTTCACAATGGTTCATGTTCCTTTAGGAACATGCATGAGCGTCACTGTCACACACCTGAGCATACTACAACAAACCTGGAAAGTCCTGCCAGACTAATTTATTATTATTGCATTAGTGAGAACCCAGAAGAAATTACATACGATAGGATATTTTCCATTTACTTATTCTCCAACAGAGCAGTAGTGCAAGAATTGCGAATGTCCCCCATTCCTTTTTCAAAAGATAACATTCTCTTATGAACATAAGGCTAACTCACCAGCTTAAGGGACACCCCGGTTCTTGCGATTTTA